CATTAAAGGCTCTGAGAAATCCAGTCATAAATCATCTATTTTATTAGCTGTTTAATCATGGGGCATTTTTTTTTTAATTTTTTTTTTTAAATAAAGACAGAATCTCACTATGTTTAGATACTTCTGCCTCAGGCTCCCAGTTGGGACTATAGAACAGGCCACCATGCCTGTTTCGTTTTTAAGACAGGGTCTTGCTATGTTGCCCAGGTCAACCTTGAGCTCGAGATCCTCCTGCCTCGGCCTCCTTGATTTGCTGGGATTACAGGCATGTGGCACTGTGCCTGGCCTTCGGATTGGACTGGGAATTACCTAGGACTGCTATGTGGTCCCAGCCTGCAGAGCACAGACTTTTGGCAGTATGTAATACCACTGGGCCTATGGGGCATTTTTTTTTTCAACTAAAACAGTTAAGGTACAGGCACAAAAAATACACATCCATTTGGGTATTTGGGGAAGATGTTAACAAAGGACTCTATTCAAAGGTGTGAGTAAGATATAGGGAACTTGTGAAGGATGGTCCATTACCTAGGATTAGTAAGAGAGGAGGAAACTTTATGCAAATGGGTCTGAGTAATGAAGGAAGAAAGAGGATTCTGGAACCTAAAGTAGGCAGTACTGAGGGGTCCTCTCGTCGCTGGCTGACAGGCACACCCAGACTCCATGAACATAAAGGCAGGCAGCTCAGGAGCTAAGTACCCCAATGTCATTCTCCTCTACTCCTCCACTCTCAGGTATTCTCCACTTATAAAATTCAGCCACTGTGGAAAGCAATAAGGAAGTATCTCCAAAATCTACAGATGAAACTACCGTATGACTCAGTAATACCAATCCTGGATGTTTACCAAGAGGATAGGAAAATACTCAGTAGGAAAGACACTTGCACATCCATGTTCGTTGCAGCATTATTCACAATTGATAAGGCATGGAATCAACCTAACTGTATGAGAATGGAGGACTGGACTGGAAAAAGGGTGGCACTCATACACAATGAAATACTACTCAGCCATAAAAAAGAGAGCTCCTGATATTTGATATAAAGTCAGTGAATAGAGAAGATTTAATGCTAAGTGAAGCAAGGCAGACTATGAAAGGCAGACGTTGCATATTCCACTCAAAATATGCCAAATGTCTGCACTTTATGGCAGAAATGGAAAGACTGGAAGATATAATAGCAAGGACAGCAAGTGAAGACAGCAGAGACTGTATAGGAGTGGGTGGAGAGTCGAGGGTGGGGAAGAGGCGCTCAGGAAAACATTTAACAGACACAGCAATGGAAAGTTCTCTGTTGAAGATGGTGTATGTGTTCTTATCTTTGACTTGATCAATATGTAACACATATATACTTTGAAAAAAACATATTGTACACTGGTAAGATGTACTATGATTACATTAAAAGGGAGGGAACCACCTAATGGTCATAAGAACAAGGGAACCTAGCGAAACTATCCATGAAGGCCAGCATCTGGGAGCACAGATTAGGATGGGGGTTAATGTGGAGGCTCAAACGGAATAATAGCAGTGCAGTAGAGACTTACTAACTTGTTCAACTGGATCTCCTCCAGTGTGCTTCAGAGAATTCCTGTTGCAGCCAAGCTACAAGAAGGGACTGGAACAACTCCATGGTAAACGGGACATAATAGACTGTCCCTTAAAGATGGTTTCTCCCTTTTGCTAACTGACCTTGCCTTATTGTTTAACTTGTAACAGAAAACCCTAATCCTGGCTTTGCTGGGTTTTCACTGAAGAGGACAGGTGCATGCTAGTCTTCAGGGCCAGATGACCACAATTGTTAAGAGTAACTTTGGTGCCATTAAGTCTCCAAGTCATCAAGAAAGTACCTGACTGCTTTGCAGAAGAACACAGTCTCCCTCCCTTCCTGCTTCTCTTGTCTTTTCTTGTCCTTTAAAACCTCCACTCCCAGCAAGTGACTTTGGAGCTTGTCTTTGAACATTAGTTTATCATCTTCCCAGGACACTGGTTTTCTGAATAAGCACCTTTCCTTTCCACCAACACTGATCTCTCGAGTACTGGTTTTCGAGGGACAAGTAACTGAACTTGGGTTCAGTCGCCAGGCTGGAACTGAAGTTGGTCTGATTATACTGCAGGCATTTGAAGATATGGTATTCTAACAATGCTTAGAGGTTTGAGGTATGTCGGAAGCAAGGTGTTAGTGTGGAAGGGAGAGAAGCAGAATTTAGGCTACACTAAGAACAGGAAGGCCAACAGTGCCCTGATTTTGCCCTGGGCTCTTTTCTGCTGGGATGTGTATACGGTCTGTTAAATCTAGCATCCTGTCTCTCCTGAACTTATCAACTGATCATATCTCCACTCTCTCAATTACCGGCCTCCTGTCTTCTTCCCCCTTGAGTAAGTGCTGGGTGCTGGCACCATGCCCAGCAGGGCCATCAGCCTTCCTGATGCGTCAAGTGGGATAACATAGCGATTAATTAGCGCTCAGGACTTGTCAATCGATGTGCTGACAAGACCATAAAGTGACAAAACTATCTCCATCTGAGCTTCAAGATGCATGGAGGGAACCCTCTACCCACTGAGAGCACACAGACCACCAGTAGTGGTGAACAGGTCTCTTAGAACCCAGATGTCCCCCTTGCCACTGCGCCAAAGCTCACGGAGCTGACGGAGTTTCCTCATATCAGTACCAGATTGCACTGCTAAGCAAAGTGGCCAGTTATCCTTGTGGACCAAACATACAGGGTGCATAAGTGTGCATGCATGCGTTTATAGATCATGTTTCCTTATGTGTATATTTAGTGCAGAGAAGGGGCGAAAGAGGGGTGGGGGGATTGGGTGTCTGGCATGCTTAGTGATAATTCAGACAGATGCAGCAGAAGTGATTTCTGTTTAGAGAGTCACAGGAAAGCTGAGGGTACAAATTCAACCCAAAGGCAGAAACAATGACTGGATCAATGGAATCCTGAGAGCAGAAATCAAAGAGGTGGTATCCATATGGCTTATACACTCGCAAGCCTGAGCCTCGTATTCCTGTGCTAACCTTGGAATTTCTTCCCTTCCTCCATTTTGGCCTCTCTGGGTCCACCATGCACAAAGATGAGTCTTTCTCAAATGCTCTCCATATTAGCTTGGAGCCTGCATGTATTACAAACTACCGCTAGGTTAAAGTTTAGATACCTAATGCCAAAAACGGCCTAAGAATCATAGAGCAACTCCTTAAAGAGATTCTGGGCCCTCCTCTCACCCAGCGAATTGTGATTTTGGAGGTCTGAAACAGGCCCCAGGAATTAGCATTTTTAAAAGTATCCCAGGTGGGACTAGCAGATGGCAAAATGGTTATATCACTGCTCTCCCACGTAGTTGACATGATTTAAGTCCCAGACCTGGTGGCTTAAAATTCATGTCAAGTGCGTGTACATGCATACTGAAAACCCTGAGAGGAGAATGGAGAAGGGATTGTGTTGTGGCCATCCCCTCTGGGGGCGGGGGGTGGGGGTGGGGCAGTGATTTCTTGCTTTCTGTCTCTCTGGCGAGTGCAAACATCCCATAACAAAAATCTCTCTTAAAAAAAAAAAAAATCCAGGTGACTTTTCTGGAACTGGAAACCACTGGGCCAGTTACATCTCCCCCAGTGCAGCAGTGAAATGACTTGGCCTAGTTTCCTTCTGCTCTCCTCAGGACCCACCATCAGCTTGGTACCTGGCTCTGGAACATCATCCACCTGGATTGTTCTTGTCCCTCTCTTCACTTGCCCAAACCCTTGGTTATGGTTTGGATATTGGTTTGCCTTTATGTTTTGGAATTTGGTCTTAGTGGGAGGTGATTGGACATCCTCCCAAAATTCATGTGTTGGGCCTTGGTTCTAGGGAGAGGTATTAAACAAAAACTTAGTTCCTTCTGGTGTAGCCGGTGGAGTCCCTTTGAGTATAAGGTCATTAGGACAGGGCCTCCATGGTTGAGTTTAAAAGCAGAGGGAATGAGACTAGAACAAGAGAGAGAACTGTGTGGATCTAAACAAGACTCTGCTTAAAATTTTGCCTTCTGCCATTTTGTGATACCTTTAGATGTTCCAGACACTGAAATGATAAGATAATAAACCTCTACTTTATAAATTCATCTAGTCTCAAGTGTTTCTGTAAGCAGTGCAGTAACAGACTAAGATAACCATGTAACTCTTAAAAATAAAACTTCAGTTTCATCTCCAAAAAGCCATGCTTCTCCAATACATAATGATCTCGTGATTGGAGAAATTATTACCACTGGCATTTGCTTTTGGTGCTTAAGCCAACATTGTTTTACTTTCTTACTTCTCTGTCTCATTTGTTCACTCTTTCAAAGGTTATTAAATACTTCTGCATGTTATAAATACTTCTGTTTTTTGCCTCAACTATTAATACACTGAACATTTCTGGTGGATGAGATCAATTACAATGCTTTTGTGTTTACTTTCGCATAATGCTTCCTGGTCTCCTTGGAGGCACTTGTGCAGTTTTTTTGAATGATGATGAACGAGCACATGAATCAACTCATGAGGCAGAAGAAAATGGGCAAGAGGCTAGGGTGATAAATAATACTTGATTGATTTTCCTACTTTTCTTCTTTGTGGTCTCAGTCCTCTTCTTGAGGCCTAAGTGGCAGATTTTCTGGACCTGTGAACAGGACTGTGGACCGTAGTATTTTACATGTGTCTGAGTATGAGTATATGTGGAAGAGGAAGGCACCCCCTCCTTTCCCACCTCAAATCCAACCTGCACTTGGCATTTCTTCTGGAGGAATAGTTGTTATTCACACATAACCTACACAATCCTTTTCATCTTGGTGTGATTGAAAAAGTCAGTAGTCAGTATAGAGAGGCAGGCCTGTGAGTCTTGGTGTCAGGAAGTGGGAGTCTTCCCAAAGATGAGGTGCTGGTTAGTTGACAGTGACATTGTGATGTCACAGGCCATATGCTCTTGTCCACTCTTCCTCACACCTTAATTATTGGTCTTCTTCTCTTACCCTAGAAGCTTTCATTAAGAGCCCCTGCATCCCACCCTGAGAGTCCAGCTTTGTGTGAGCTCCTCCCCAATGGGCCTGCTCTGCTTCCACATGTCTGGAAAGGACCTTCTGTTTCATTTCTTCCTGAAAAAAGATGGCATGACTTGGGTTGTCATGACCACACAGGAAAACAATGTGTCTTCTGCCAGATTCACTTAAAAAGACAAACTTTAGGTCTCTGTGGGAAAGCTGCCTGCTACCTGCTGTGATCCACTTCTTCAGGACAGCTTTGGATCATCTGAGTCTGAAGATGCAGGGGCTGTGTTTGTTCTACTGGCCATTATTGTAATCACTACCAAAGGAGTATTTACTACCCCGTACTCAGCTCCAGGGGACTAATCCTCTTGCAAGCAATAAGGAAGACTCAAGCACACCCTTGAGAGTTATTTAAATCAGAAATATGGAAAGACAACCTTGGAATGCCCCGGAATTACCAGGAAGTGGGATCAGATGTGAGCACCAGGTGTGTGATGAGCTGAGTCCAGTGGAGGGTGGGCTAGACTTGGCCTCTAACTCTGTCGCAAGCTGGAACTTCAGGTGGACTCCCTAAGGAGGCTTAAGGCCTATGATATTCTTTCAGAATTGAGACTGTTGCAAAGTTCTTTTGAAGATTTCGATTTACTCTCTCTCCCATCCATGAGTACTCTGCTTTACAATCTCCCAAGCTATGACCTAGGCACACAACATATCTAACAGGTGACATAGAATGGCTCAATATCACCAAATGTGACTCAAGTTGAAATAACAAACAGAAGGATGGCTGATATTTAAGGGTGTGTGGCTTTTTGGGAAACCCCAAGATATCCCAAATATAAAGCAGATTACCACAGGAACCGCATCTACCTGGTTATACTGTGAGTATATCTGACATACTATCACATTTCCCTTTAAGAAGTGAAATTTCACATAATATAGGTCATGTTTAACCTTTATGTTTGCTCTTCACATAACAATGCCAACTGGAGGAACTCCTACCTGGTGGCTGGCCCATGAAACCACACACACTGGTATCGCAGTGTAAATGGAATTCTAGTGTGTTTGGACAAAAGGTCTTCAAAAAGTTAGTGGGAAATGCATATTTAAAAAAATATTATGCATGGATTTCAACATATTTTGCCTGAAAATAAAATTGTGGGACTAGCAAATGGTGTAATGGTTACATTGCTGGACTCCAAAGGGTTGACTACAGTTTGAGTCCCACACCCAGCAGTTTAAAATTCATGCTGGGTGCATTTGCATGCATGTTGCAAATTCCAAGAGAGTGGAGGAGAAGGGATTGCAGCATGGTCATCACCCCTTGGGGGTGATTTCTCACTTTCTATCTCTCTGTCTTTGTCTCTTTGGTGAGTGCCTGTGCCCAATAGCAAAAAATCTCTCTAAAGGAAAAAAATACACCTTCTAGTTTAATTACAGTTTTCTAGGAACTTTAAAGCCCTTTTATATATATATATATTGGAGCAATTTATAGATGTCATGTCATTAAAACCTCACAACTCTGTGAGGTCATTCACATTTTATAGATGGCATTGAGTTGTCTGAAAGGCTGTATGGAAAATAAGAGGCTCAATTCATATTTCAGTTCAAATCAAAAGACTCCAACCACAGTGCTCTTGAAATCTACACTACAGTGCTGTTTTTCTAGAATGCATAAATATATACTCATATGTTGAGCATGACTGAGTTTCTAGGGAGATCTAGATTTGAAAATGGGTAGTGAATGAATGGTTGGTACTTGGAGAAAATCTCATACAGTTCCCTGTCTCCAGGATCTGTTCTTACACCTACCCCAAACATCTCTTTGAGGGCTGTGTCTGACTCAGTCCAGAGCAATAAAACTATTTCTATGCAGCTATTAATACACACTGAGGGCAGTCTTTTTTTTTAAAAAAAAATTTTATTTAACTATTTATTTATTTATTTTAATTTGACCAGAGAGGGACAGAATGAGAGAGAGAGTCAGAGAGAGAGAGAAAGGGAAAGTGAGAAAGCAAGTCACCAGGTCCAGGACTCAAATCATGATCAGCCATGTGGGAGTCCAGCACCCTTAACCACCATGCCACATGCCAACTCCCTGAGGGAAGTCTTTTAACTTCCCTTGGCCACCTTCTTATTCCTTTACCTAAGGCATTATTCTATTGAAGCATGCAACCTGGCAGAAGTCAGCCACACTGCTAGGGAAGGCAGTTAGACATTGAAGACCACGAATTGGGAAGTGACTGGTCTTTTTCACCATCATGCATAGCATAGCATATAGGTGATAAGCTGTGGCCCTCTGGAGACTGGGGGAAGACATACCTAGAGTCTTCTGTCCTTCTTACCTGATTTCTGGCCCCATGGTCTTCTGAGAGTTCCAGCACACAATGCCTGTCTTTCCACTGAGTTCCTTTAATATGCCGTCATCACTTGCCTGCACTGTTCCTTTCTCCCTGGAAGGTTCCATCCCCCATTACCACTCACTTAATTTTTATATTCTCCAATCCTTTCAGCTATAGGTGATCTCTGCCTACTGTGAACTCTCCTATGCTCTGAGTTCTTGGGGCAGCTTACCACTTTCCACATTGTGCTATAATTAATATATGCATACTTTGTCTTTTCTAACACAGTATCTTTTCTGATGATGGTGGGTGATAGAGGATTCATCGTTGTATTTCCCAAGGAGTTTAACATAGTGCTTTCATTCAGTAAGTATCTATTGGATGGATAAATGAGGCTGTTGGGTTGGGCACTTGGGCAGATGTGAAAGTAAGTCTGACACAATCCAACTAGCCCATAATTGGTGTTCAATAAATATTTTAAAATGAAAGAATAAATAAATAAATAAATGCAACTGAAGAGAATATGTAAAGTATTTTGAAGAGCTTGGCAGAGTAAGAATAATTAGGAAAGCTTCAGAGACCTTGAATAAAGCAGTCCAGGAGACTTAATTTTGGACTAGGAGAAAAGAGGTCAGAGGATAGAACATCTTCCATGTAAAGGAAATCCAAGAATAAAGGGTGAGGATAGATCTTGAGGGCTAGATATTTGGTGTGTGGGCTGGGTAGAGCAGCATAAAGGTGGGTAGAAAGAGATTAGATTATAGCAATTTTTAATGGCAAATTATAGATATTTTTAAAATAATTATTTAACTTTATTTACTTATTTTAATTTGACCAGAGAGTGACAGAGAGAGAGAGAGAGAGAGAGTAAGAGGAGAGAGAGAGAGAAAGTAAGAAAGCAAGCCACCAGGTTCAGGACTTGAACCATGGTTGGCCATGTGGAAGCCCAGCACCTTTAACCACCACACTACCTGCTGGCCCTAGGCAAATTGTAGATTCTGACTTTATCCTGAAAGGCTACTGGTGACATGGTAAATGTCTTGTTTCCTAAAGATTAATTAATGGGAAGGACTGGCATGAAGAAAGGAAATCAGTTGGGAGCTCATGGACAGCCACTCTGCTCTAGATCTTCCTTCTGCCATTTTGTGTTGCCTTTGGACCTCCCACATGGCTAGAATTGTGAGTCAAATAAACCTCTATTCTCTTCAGTTCACCCAGCCTCAGGTATTTCTGTAAGGGATGCAATAATGAACTAAGACAGCAAGGACCCATGTTCCCTAGGCACCAGGTGCCTTGAGCGCACAAATGCTCTTATAACTACTGTCTAACCTTTACTGCTTCATCAGACAAAAACCACCCAAGTCTCAGCTTGGATTGGAGAAAAGGCATCTGTAGCTTGACATGTCTGTCATCTTCTTGGGAAGATCCAGTCCTCTATTTCTCCCCTAAGTTTGTACCACTTATATTCTAATTAAAATCTTCCTGCTGGCCCTGCCTAAATTATAAGATCTATCACCCTAAATCTCTTTTCCCTGTCAATTTTTTTCTCCTACTTTTCTATCTTTTATCATCTGACTTCTTACTTGTTTCTTACTTCCCTTAATTTCTAACTGCTTGGATTTCATTAGACATTTAAAAAATGTTAATTTTCATCTGTCAAATAATAATTGCATGTATATAATGCAATGTGATTTTGATGTTTATAATACAATGTGATTTTGATGTTTACACTGTGTAATGATTAAATCAAACTAAATAATGAATCCATCACCTTATACACTTACCAACATTTTTGTGATGAGAATATTTAACATCTAATCTTCAAGCAATTTTGAAACATATGATGCATTATTATTAATTATAGTCACCTTTCTGTGTAATAGATCACTAAAGCTTATTCCTCCCAACTAAAATATTGGTTTTGAATTTGTGTGCAGAGCCACTAATCAATATCAATGCTATAAACTTTAGGGGTGTCTAGACTGTCTATCTAACACTAGTTTCTGTCCCTTACAGTTGCAACTGTCCCTTTTTCACAGATGATAAAACTGAGGCACAGAGGTGTAACTTGCTCAGGTCATGGCTGTGGGAACCAGGTATCCCATACAGAGCCACCATCCTGACCCTCACTGACAGCCTCCACGCTGGTTCTTTGCTCACCAATACTGCACAGTTGATCTTGTTTTAGGTACATTCTACTCAAGTTAGCTGCAAAGACAACTGAAAAGACTTTATTGGTTTCTTGGGAATGCTGTCCCTATGAATATTGCAGTAATATACCAAACATTGCCAGTGGGAAAGAGAGAACAATTAATAAATTCACCATTTGCTGAACAATTCCATGGTGAAGCAAGTTAGCATGTTAGATTGGGAAATGTCTACCAGCATTACAGAGTTTAGTTCCCTAGCTCTAAAACATACACTTACATTGTTTGTGAAAAATTCTCATACCACTTCTTTTTTCCCTCACAAGTATGGAGAGCCTTCCGCAAAGAAGAACATCTTAAATAAATGACTAACCTTGACAACAGACATGTCAATGATAGAACTTTATAACATGGTGCCCTGAGACACTCCTTCAAGTGTGATAAAGTGAGGGCAAGTCCGAGGAAGCATACCATCTCTGAGCTCATTTGGTGGGTTGCTGGGAAGAGCTGAGTGTCTCGGTCTCCCTTCTGAAAACAGTTCCAATTGCTGCTAGTTTAAAATTTTAAGACTATATAATTAATATGTAATTGCTGAAAAATGAGAAAATATAACTAAACAACAAATACAGATGGATATGTGTGTATTTTTCCATACTGAAAAAGAGTAACACTGAACAAACTGGGGAATATGCTTTTTCAATAACAAAATACTCTGAGTATTTAATTCCATATTGTTAGTTGTTTAGGTTATTTCCATTTCAAGGGTGTTGTAAACAATGTCTCTACCTCACTGCAGGCAGGCCTTTGTGTATGTCCCTAATTGTTCTCTCCAGGGGCAATTTCTCAAATCAGGATTTCTAGGTTAGAGGGAATGTCAGCCTAAAGGTTTCAATTTCATTTCTCCTCGGAAATGTTGGGCCCATCGATCAGCCTTCCAATTGTAAATGAGAGTTCAGTGTCTGTCTCCCTTCAACTTGAGTAGCATTGGGTGATTTTCTTTTTTTCCTGGGAGGTGTGGTCTTTGCCAGCTTGAAAGGTGTACATGAATCTCCTATTCCCTTTGTATTTATTTAATTGATTACTTACTAGTAATTGGGGGATTGATTACTAATGAAATTTTCATGTTTTCATTTCCCCTATATTTGACAGAAGAAATATGTTTATATATATACATACATATACACATATATGTATGTATATGTATAAGACTATGTTTGACAGTTTGTATTATCCACTTCCCCCCAGTGGAGAAATTATCTTATTTTCATCTTTTTTTCCTTAAATTAATAGTTCCATGCATAAAGGATATAGAGTCCCCTTTTGTCACACATCACAACACTTTCCCCAATTAAAAAAAATTGTCTTATCATTTAATATGTTTGACTCACAAATATCTTACATTCAAGTGCAGTCAACTTTGTCATTATTTTCTCCTGCTTTGTCTCTTTGGTAAAGTATTATTTTATGATTCAAAAAGAAATTTTTTAAAGGTTTTTGCCATATGGCACATGTGCTTCCCAGAGAGAGACAGAGAGAAAGTGAGAAATCACCCCCCAAAAGAGATGGCCACACCACAATCCTCTCTCCTCCATTCTCCTCTTGGGATTTTGGGCACATGCACATATATGTCCTGCATGATTTTCAAAGCACCAAATCCAGGACTCAAACAGTGGCTGGCCTTGTGGGAGTCTAGTGCCTTCATCACCATGCCAGCTGCTACCCCAGCAATTTATTTTTTTAATTATAGAAAATGTATGGGTGTGCACAAAAAATGAGAGAGAGAGAGAGAGAGAGAGAGAGAGAGAGCGCACTCTAGAGTCTTGTTACACTGTGATCCTCACCCCTCCAGTTCTTCAGCTTGCTGGGTGCCCACGTGTGTGCCCAGCATGTTTTCAGGTTGAACTGGAATCCAAACCCTCCTTCTCCCTCAGCCTCCTGAGCTGCTGGGACTACAAGTGTATGCCGCCATACCTGACTTTTTAAGGTGGCCCGGGAATCGGACCTGGGCCTCCCGCGTGGTCACACTGCTGCCCAGGTATACAATTACATGGTCCCTCAATACTAACCAATATCAATAGTGTGGTTGAAAGAAATAATATCCAGGGAGAACTAGAGAAGGGAGAATAGGCCATTACTCATCCTGATATTGGAAATCATGTTTGGGTTTAGCCAAATCATTAGACAGCAGGGAGGTCCACCACCATGTCATGTTCCACCGTTTGCTTTTACTGACATTCCCTGTGGAGTGAGTGACACTTTCAGCCTGTTGAAGAGTGTTATGTGAAACCACAAAGCTCATTTTTAATTCAGTAACATCTCTCTTGACAATAATATCCTCTGTAAGAGAGTCATTGGCAAAAATAAGCCTGATCATACAAATGGGTGTACATTTCTGTTTCTGGCTGTTTTCTTCTTCTTGATGTTATGAATTGCATAATTTAGATGTCATTTTTCTGGCTGACCAACAGAATGGCCAGATCAAATATGCAGATGAGGGCTGGCTTTGTAGCCCGGTGGTTGGGACAGCTACACCCCACACAGCTGATTTCCCAGTTTGAGTCCCGGACCTGGCAACTTGAGACACATGCTGGGTACATGTGTGTATGTGCCCCAATCCTGACAGGAGAGATGGAGGAGGAGGAATTGTGTCGTGACCATTCCCCATGGGGATGCTTTCTCACTCTCCTCTCTCTGTCGCCGGTGAGCCATCATGCCCTCTGGCAAAAGAATAAAATAAAATGGATAAATAAAAACATGCAGATGAATAGATGGTTGGGCCAGGTAAGCTTAATTTCTGCCATTACTTTGTCCCCTCGTTCTGTTTATCCCTCCTTCTAATTTCTTGTTTGCCTTTTGTGGGTTTTTGTTTGTTTGTTTATTTGTTTTAAAGATAGGGTCCTACTGCCCCAATTCTGCCTCAGTTTTCTGGCATGGACCACAGGCACATACCAGGGCCAACTCATTCTCAGATGGAGTCCAAATACATGCCCAGAACAGCTGGGAGCTCGTGCTCCTTCTGCTTCAGCCTCCCTAGGCACTGTGATTTTAGGTGTGTGCCACTGCACCTGGTCTCCAGGTTGGACTGAGAATCAAACCCAGGTCTTCCATATGGTCTCAGTCTGATTTTTGCTATAGGGCGCATGTGCTCACCAAAGAGAGAGCGACAGAGAGACAGAGAGACAAAAAATGAGAAATCAACCCTCCCCCAGGGGAGGGGAATGACCATGTTGCAGTCCTCTCTCTTCCACTCTCCCCTTGGGATTTTGGGCACATATGAACATGCACCAGCATGAGTTTTAAATCTCTGGGTCCAGGACTAGAACCATGGTCAGCCGTGTGGGAGTCCAGTGATGTAATCATTATGCCATCTGCTGGTCTCTATATCCAGTCTTTCGGTAGGACCAGGAGTCAAACCCAGGCCTCCCATGTGGTCCCAGCCAGCAGAGCAGTGTCATAGCAGTGCACACCACCATAGCTGGGCCAAAGCATGCCATTGTCTAAGCAGGCACGCACACACACACACACACACACACACACACACACACACAGAATATCATAGTTAGTTAGAATCAACCTGACTTGTAGATGGCCAAGTCCCCTGTCATTCTGTGCTACAACTCTGCCTCTTCGCTCGAATGTGGGCAAATGTGCATTTCCCTTCTCTCAGGCATATCTATCTCGCTGGCTCATAAGAGAGACATCTGCCTGCTTCTGCAGTGATATTTCAGCATTTTTATTCAGCTACACTTTTCAGTGTTTTGTCAGATTCCCTTTGCAGACTCTAATCCTCCCACAGACAACGGGAGGAATAAATTGCTAGAAATGAAAACCATGAAGCTGCATCCGTATGCAGTAGTGGCAAAACCAGTTGGAGCCAACAGGATAACTTTCAGCCTTTCGTTTCTTTTGAGGAAGAGGTCTCTTCAACTTTTCTGCTCAGCCCTAGAACGTGCCTGTACGTGTAGTCCTGGCTTGTTAACCAGCAGGCTTGGTTGGTGGTTCCTACACAACTTAATACTGGAGTTTTCAGAG